ACAAAAAAAAAATTATTCTAGCCATTTGACTGTCATGGTTTTAGGGTTAACAGAGTATATTTTGCTTAAGTCTGCGTTTTCTAATGCTCAGACCACGTGCCTGGGCTCTCTCCCTCTGCACACAGACTGTAGGCATCTTTTGATGACTGATGTTTGATAATGTTGCTTTATATACTTTTTAAAAGATCATTAATCATCATAATTTTCATGACTGACATCCCATTCTGAAAGCATAGTTATAGCTAAATTTGGTGATTTTCACAAACTAACATTATATACTCCCCAAGTTCTTCTATCATGAGCATAATCAATCCTTATCACAAAATTTATTTAAATACTGAAATTCAAAAATTGTTAAATATGAACAGTCCACTGCATTTTAAGAGAAACAATATATTCCCCATCTAATTACAATCTACCCTAAGTATGTATTTAAATTGTCATAATATTTTCTACTCCATCACAAATGTAAGCATGCTATTAAGATGAAATATTAATTCTGAGATTTCTAAAAATGAAAAATAGCAAACTGTACATTATCATACCCATAATCATACCATTGAATAAATAGAAACTGTGCATAAATCTTGATGAAAAAAGAAAAAAGTAATATAAAAAAGAATACAATGCAGTATAGTACTTATCAAGGGAAGTGTGACAGTGCACACAACCCTTGAGATGTCCTAAATACTGCTACTTTCTGGTCAGAGTCACATCCAGTCATCGCTAAACAACACTGAGAGATACTGGTGGCTAACTACGGTTGGAGAAATGGTATCTTACTGGTGGCTAACTGTGGTTGCAGAAATGGTATCTTACTGGTGGCTAACTATGGTTGGAGAAATGGTATCTACTGGTGGCTAACTACGGTTGGAGAAATGGTATCTACTGGTGGCTAACTGTGGTTGGAGAAATGGTGTCTTACTGGTGGCTAATTGTGGTTGGAGAAATGGTATCTACTGGTGGCTAACTGTGGTTGAAGAAATGGTATCTACTGGTGGCTAACTGTGGTTGGAGAAATGGTATCTACTGGTGGCTAACTGTGGTTGGAGAAATGGTATCTACTGGTGGCTAACTGTGGTTGGAGAAATGGCATCTACTGGTGGCTAACTGTGGTTGGAGAAATGGTGTCTTGCAACCTGGAGATTCTTCCCAACCTTTGAAATCATGACAGAATATAAAGGAAGTGTTACATGTTCACCTTTTTATTTTCCCATTCACTACCTGCTCTTTATTATATGGCTAGGAAATATTTTGTTAGGATTAATAATAGCACTTTTGCATACTGTATCCAAAAAAAAGAACAAATATTTGAGGTAAGAAAACAGGTTTACACAAGATCACACTGCTAGAACATGACTAAAAAATATTACAAAATACAACTTTCAAATATAGTAGTGTTTTCTTCTAGTTAAGGTCCATATTAGGCAGTCCAACTTACTATGAGTTACCAAACAATAGAAAACAAAGCACTAGTATTGACTGGCACGCAACAGACTGAGCACCAGACTCCATCTGACTCCTACAAACATAGACTATTGAAACCTTACTGAAGTTTCTCTTTTCAGACATTTGCAACTTTCCTATGTAAACTGGTTATCAAAAAAAAAAAATTACTGCTATTCTATCCAAAGTAAAAACCCTTTAGAATTCAATCAATTCAAAGTAGCTTATCTTATTGCTAAGCTTATATCAACATGCAGAAGTAGTTGATTCTGGTGGGACCAGAATGAAAAGTCTAATTAGATTATAGATATTTATCATGTAACCCTATATGGATGGGTCACAGTCTACAGGAGCAGTTTGACTTCAGAAACCGTGAATACAAAACAATGGGGTAATGAAAGCGAAATAGAGGAACCACACTGTATAGGAAACCCTGAAGAGAAGGGTAGAATAGAAAAAAACTTCTTTAAAAATCTAATAATCTAATTAAGAAAATCTTGATTAGAAGGAAATTAATATCTAGGCTATATTCATACAATACATATATATATACACACGTACATACATGCATATAGTATCTTTTTATTTTTGTGCTTTTTATTTGTTCCTGTGTTTGTTTGCTTGCTTGTTTAAAACAAGGTCTTCTGACTGTCTCCAAACTTGCTATGTAGCTCAAGAGGGCCCTGGACTTCTGATTCTTCTGTCTCCACATCTCAAATTACAGGCATACACTGCCATGCCCAGTTTAGAATCTTTCAATTACTCATTCAGCTGGAGACTGGCAAAGAAATCAAGAGATGCAATAACTCACAGAACTGCTCTGTCAACTTTAAAAGCATTCTTTTATTTGGGAATTGGAAAACGTGACACCTACAAGAAAGGAAGCTTACGTAGATGGATGGTGACTCCACATTGAACTGCTGGATCAAATAAACAAATAAGAGTCCCCAGGACTTCCAAGAAGAAAGAATTGTGGGTTTCATTCTTTAAAGAGCTAAAAAATTAATAATATTTAAAATCATAATAGTCAGCAGCTAATTCAAATGATAGTAGATGTACTTGAATTAAATTGTTTAGGCTATAACAACTGTCCATGTTCCATTTATCATTTAATTCTTATTCTATTGGTTACACAGAAGATCTTCTTAGTAACTGCATCCATTGCACAGGTACCTTAATTAACCAATCCATTACCATCACACATTATGATGGCTTCTGTTTGCTTCCAATCATAAATGGCAGTGTGATACACATGCCTCCTGAAAACTTTTGCACGTATTTCCGGTTAGTCTTTGAGCATTCTCTGCAGTTTATTCTGATGCAAAGGCACTACATCAGACCAGGGGGGTTGCTAAACAGAAGGATGGGGATAGAACATAATGACATGAGCACAGTAAAGCGGGCTACTCCTCAGGGAAGTCCTCCCAGCATTCTTCCGTGTTGAGATGTACTGGGCAATGCTAGCAAAGGAAAAAGGTGGAGAAATCGGTAGGAGGCCAAACTTCTCCATTCAGTAGGGATTACTCATAGCATGGACACGACTTTAAACTCTGTCAAGTCAACGCCAGAAAGTGTCAGTTCTCTTGTACTGCCAAACCACTTTCTAGTGCCTTCACCACCCCTGCCAACTTGTTAGACAAAAACTAGTAATTTGCCTTTTTAATCATCATTTCTACGTTAACTTTTTAAGCTAATCTATAATGAATTGAGGAAGCTGCCTAATGTGTTTGGCTTCAGGATTGGTATTGGCTATTGAGCCATGAAGCAGTAACAAGATTAAAGCAACTTCCATGCAGTTCTTAACACTGCTGCACACACAATCAATAAGGATGCCTTGTGATCAAACGCTCCTAGAGAGCGTTGTACACAGGCAGCAATGGGCAAGCAAGGCGTAACTACCAAATTGACCCATTTTCACAGATTCTGAGCACCTCTTCCTCTGCACACAAAGAAGAGTATCTCCACTAAGAAAACGGCTTCAGGGGCTAAAGTGCTTTTCGAGCACACATGAGGACCTGAGTTCAGAGCAGCTGTGCGTAAGCTGAGTGTGGTGGCGTGCACCTGTAATCCCAACAGTAGAGGTATGAAAAGAGGAGATCCTGGTTCACACTGGTCAGCTAGGCTTGCTGAACTGGTGAGCTCCAGGTTCAGTAGAGACCCTGCCTGAAAAATATAAGGTGAAGTGCAATAGAGAAACACACCATATGGACCTAGCATCCATATGCATGCAGGTACATGTATGCAAGCATACATATATTATACACATGATCACATATATAGACAGGGACACGTACATACAGATAGAAACATCCACACCATACCAAAAGGAACATGTACACACAGACTGACAGGAACATACCTTAATAGGCATAGACAGGAATGGATATACACACAAGCATACAGAGAACACACACACACAAAGACATGTACACAAGTATCTCCTCACTCTTTACTAAAATGCTCAAAATTTAAACACTTTTATTTCTTTGTGCTAAAGCAATTAGGTCCCCATCAATCATCTTCCATCTGTTAAAATTCAAGTGCTTCCTGAAGTAAGAATATATAATTATGTTGTAGCCATCAAATGGAATGCCAAGCAGTCACCAAGAAAACTAAGGATTCTGCATTTACTAACATGGAAATGCCCATGATATTCTTCTTTGGTACCAAAATACATGTATAGGAGAAACCTAAGGAAAATAGAAACTATTTTCAAAAATACTATACTGCGTACCTACCTGAAGGTGTATCGGAGAATTCTTTCACTTTATATATTTCCCTTTTGTTCATTTTTCAGAATGGACAGGTACAACCTTTCTTAGGAATCAGAAGCATAGTGCCAGGTGGTGATGGTACACACCTTTAATCCCAGCACTCAGGAGGCAGTGGCAGGTAGATCTCTATAAGTTTGAGACCAGCCTGGTCTACAGAGTGAGTTTTAGGACAGCCATGGCTACATAGAGAAACCCTGTGAAAGAAAAAAAAAAGAAGGAAGGAAAGGAAAGGAAAGGAAAGGAAAGGAAAGGAAAGGAAAGGAAAGGAAAGGGACATACTAAGGCTATTTGCATTTTGACTAAAAAAAAACCTGAAAATATGTAGAAAGTCACAAAGAACTCAGCACTTCAATGACATTTAATTTTGTAAATTTCTCAAGTTAGCCGAAGTATCCTAAAGAATGAGACTCAGGTTCTACAAAGTTCTCAAAGGCTAGAAAAACAGTCAATGGTAGATTGTACTCAGAGACAGGTACTGTATAAGGAGAGATGTCATCATGAAAATCAAGGCAAGAGATGTTGTGTGTCCTCAAGTCCAAGGAAAAGTGTGACGAGTCATGAGAACTGCAAGGACCCACAGTGGACACCACCACTCCTGTTTCCATTGCGGTCAAGAAAACTGCCCCTCAGAAATGACGTGCACACATCTACCACCAACAGTCCCAGGACCCAAGGGCTATTCGTTTTTTAAAATATAAACATACATAAAACAGATTGGAAGTTTTAAATTTATACTTCATGAAGACTGCAAAAAAGACCACGGCGCACTACACTACTCACCTCTGTTGGAAGACACGCGTGTACACTGGCAGGTGTTCCCAGATGTGATGCCGCCGTCCCATTTTTTATTTGAAACTGTGTTTTGCACATGTAGCCATCAGAACATTCCTGCATTGCACCAACAAAAATAAATTAAAAATGACAATTAATTTAAGAATTGGTCACTTGAAGAACTACCATTTCCCTTAAGTTCTAAGTCATGCAAAGAGAAACTTGACACACTGAATGAGCTGAGGTAACAAGGGTAAGAAGACTAGCCCAATGCACACTGCGTATCACTTGGTAAACGTGAATCTTGCTTCTTAGCGTCCTGTTCAGGGATGTGCCTCTTCTACTCTGCTCCCTTTACTAACCCACAACACCAAGGTCAGACACAAAACTTCAGGATGGTGAACACCTGAAGACTCACTTAACTGCACAGACAAGGACCGTGTCATGAGGAAGATTGTGCATTGAGAGATTTGAGGGTTCACAGCAAGGCTGGAAATGAGCAGGGCCTTCTGCTGTCTCTTCAGCGGGAGAGATGTCACAGAGAGATTCCTGAACAGTGCCTGCCTGAGCTCTCTGAGGAACCTGCATTTTCCATTTCCTTAGGGCGGCTGCCTGGCATTCCATGCACTATAATTTGAGAAAGTTTTGTCTTGCACTGCACTGTTCCCCTTAGCACAGTTGTTCTTGTTCTGTCTTCAGGAGACAAAGTCCTTTTCTATAGAACTGTTCTTTAGAGAGCTGAAAATACCCAGGTTGTTTTAACATATGGATTACAAGAAGGCGTTCTCAATTGCCCACTGCTTGGTTTCTTCTTTTGAAAGCCCTTTCTGTGTGTGCATGACTTGGGATACGTATCTCTGTAAGTTTACGTGTGTGTGTGTGTGTGTGTGTGTGTGTGTGTGTGTGTGTGTGTGTGTTTGTGTGTGTGTGTGGCCGTAGAGGCCAGAAGAGCAAGCTGGATTCCTTAGAGCTGGAGTTACGTGAGCTCCTGATGACTGATCCAAGCCCCCGACCTCATGATTGAGCAGTAAGTACTCCTAACCACATGCTCTCAGGCCACCCATGAGTGTTCTGGGGACCAGAAGCATTACCATCACCTCAGCACCAGACATGTAGAGTCTGCAACCCAGCACCAGGCCCCAGAGGCTATATGTTCAGGATCCCTAGGAAGGGGCTACATATTTGGAGGTACTGGGGCAGTGTCCATTAAAAGCCTTTACTCAAGGGAATTGCAAGCTCAGTGCATTGGCATTAATGCTTGCCCCTAGCTGCATATGAGACTCCATCCCAGACAGAGTTCTAAATGCTATGGCTAAGGTCTCACCTAAGATCAATTAAGCCAGAACCCACATCACCACAGCTTCTATTTCCTTGGCAGGGTTAGGAACCACTCGAGCACCTGATGAACTCAGAGCATCAAGGAAGTAACTGACAGCTGCCTAGGAAGAAAGAGGCAACTCAAGACCTTGATGAAGCCCAAAGCTCAGCCCAACCTTTCCAAATGCAGAAACCCGTGCCACTGCTGCTCAATGTGACAGTTTCGCCCAGGCTGAGACAGTAAGTGGTCTTTGCTACCCTAGACCCTGTTTCCCAGCCCTGACCTAGTCTTCTGTAGTCTCCATGAATCTCTTAGAACTCTCCTAACTACATCTGTTATCTAGAACCCCTGTTACCCATCTGCCGTAAAGCAGTTACTGGACTTTATCTCTTGCTAACCATCTGCCGTAAAGTAGTTGCTAAACTTTACTGTCACTACAGAAGAGAAACGAACAGGGTAAGTCCAGGTGCAGTAACTCAAATACCACAAATAAAAACCCCAAACACTTCTTCATAGCCAAACTTTTTTACTTTGTCAAACAGAATGCCCATCACGAATTTATAACAAGACTCACAAATATGCAAGATTAAAACAGAAGTAAATATGTCTTCTAAAATATAACAAAAGGCTGGGGATGTAGCTCAGCTGGGAGTGCTTGCATAGCATACACAAAGTCCTGGCTTCCTTCCCAGCATTGGGTAAAGGTATAATCCAAGAAACTGGGATGTGAACATAGGAATATCAGAAGTTCAAGGCTATCCTCAACTACATCCTCAGCTAGTACGAGAGCAGTCTGGGCTACAAGAGACCCTGCTTCAAAAAAAAGGGGGGGGGAGTAAGGAAAGAAAGAAAAAGTCAAAATCCAGAGGATCGGAGCAATCCGTGACAGAGGTCTAGAGAGAGGGCTCAGTGGTTTGGAGCATTTACTGCTCTATCAGAAGACTGGATTTGGATCCTAGCACCCCTATCAGGCAGCTCACCAATACTCAAAGCGTTCAATACCCTTTTCTGGCCTCCATGCCCCCCACATGTAAACATACACTGCATGAATACAGAAAAACTAAATTATAAAATATATCTTTAAAATAAGAAAGAAAATGTATGCTGCATAGAATAAAAAGCCAAAGGACAAATATAAAAATGAAAAAAACCTTGACACAGAAAAGCACTAATTTCCTCAATCTACACACAGCTTTAAATTCCTCAAAATGCAACTGTTACAACAAACCAATAAAAAAAGACTAACGGCCCAAGGAAAAATGAGCAAAGGATGGGTGGCAATGTACAGAGATAGGAAGACAGAGAGATAGACCATCAAAAAAGAAATGCATGTGGATCAAAAGATGCTCAGTGTTACATATGGAAAATGCAACTGTAGAATTATGTGGTAATTTTTTGAATGATCAGATTAGCAAAGATCAAAAAAAAAACTACATGGTATAACATGCAGATAAAAACGTGAATGAAACAGACAGGGACTCCACCACACATTTCTAAATCAGTCTTATATCCCTAAAAAGCAAGCTGGCAAAACCCACCAAATCTTTAAATATACTTTGGGGTATGGTGGTGTACACCTTTAAATGCCACATAAGGGACACAGGCAGGTGTATCTCTGTAAGTTCAAGACTAACCTGGTCTACATAGAGAGATCCAGGGAAGCCAGGAGCAAGGCTCTCTCAAAAATTAAAAAAGGAAAAAAGACAAAGGTACATATACTGGAGTCAGAAATGCTACCTTCAGGAATGTATCTTACAGACACAGTCACATCTGCAGAAAGTGAAACTCATGCAATGGCACTCACCAAATTTTTGCTTTGTATGGCCTAAGATCTAGAAATACTTCAATAATTATCAATGAGAGTTGGTAATATAAATTATTACACATGCAAATAATGAAATTCTACACAACTACAAAAAACTTGCTATTATATAAGCATTGAATATTACCCAAGATAGAGCCTTAGATTTTTCTTCCAAGCATTTATTAGACATAAGTGTATATGTTATATGAGCCTTAAATATACATGTAGAAGATACCTAAAACCCTATTCTCATGGGCAAGCTCTGAAGGCGTAAGTGACAAAAAAGCACAGAAAGAACATTTCCCACACGTTTTAAAATCTATCAGTCTGTGTGCCTTTGTGTAAGTGATGCTTGCCTCAAACAACTGGCTGTCTTTTGCACATCTGCTTCCAGGCCATCGTGTTCCTACTGTACAAACAAATGTTAAAACTTTTGCAGAGAAAATATCCTGTGGGTTCTATAGAATCCCAGAGAGACCGGCAAGCTTTATGGGGTAGTGCTGATGCATTTTGGACAGAGATCTAAGAATTTCCCAACAGAACATGTTTGGACTTGCTTTCTCACAGCTGTTATAGGGTTATGCCACCCATCAAGAGAGCTAGGTTATATCTGCTAGAATCCAGCCACACAAATAATTATGGAGATTTTCTTGCTAAACTTTAATAGGTTTTTACGAATTGTCTCTTTTTTATCTAAAAACCCTCAGCCGTCCTTGAAAAAAATCACGGCACTGGAATTTAATGCAACCATCCAGGATAACCGGCCGTAGAAACAGCCTGGCAAGTTCAAGGCAGGAAGACAACTCAAGCGTTAGGTCACTCCTGGAACTGATGAACAAGGCCTTCAAGGAAGGCAGAAGCCTGAGGTACAAGCCAGACCTGAGACAAGTCCCTGAAGGTAAGACCAAAATCATCAACAGCTGCCCCCATCTGGTCAGTGGAAAGAGGAACAAGAAGAAAACTTCCCAAAGAAAAGCAAAAGCAAGTGGAGGTCAACCTAGTCTACCAAGCAAGTTCCAGGACAGCCAGGGCTGCACAGAGAAAGCCTGTCTTGAGAAACCTAATAAACAAAACAGCAAAGTAAGGTTAGGCAAGCCAGATACATGACATCAATAGTTGTTCATTTTTAAAAATGAGGGTTTTTAAAAAGTTTAGATGCCTGGAAAGTGCCCACTGCAGATATGAAGATCCTTTGATTTGAATATGTCAATGTGTCTCATCCCACAGGCACCCCAGTGCCCACCTAACAGCCCCGGCTTCTAGTTGCGTCACACTTTCCTAATGCATGTATGGGTCTTGCCTGATTCTGATATCTCTGAAAATAGTAAATACAAAGGTGAGTTATGATAGTGTGACCAGATCCAGCCAAAGTTATCTATTGGGTAGCTACTAGCCTCTAGCTCATTTTGATAAAAATTCAAGAAAACAAAAATTCAAAAGTAAAAGAAAACAGGGATATACTTCATTTTTGAAGAAGACTTTGTATGTCTAATGAAAGTCAGACATGTAGCCTGGTCATAGAGTATTTTGAGGTCTATTAAACATGACTTAGCTGTTATATCAGGGCAGAGGGTTAAAGACACACGCTTCTATGAGAAGAATCACATATGACGTACTTGGTTCAAACATCCTCTGGTTCACCATCTGGACAATGTAACTCCCAACTGTTATTTTACCTATATGGATTATCTTTTAGAATCTCTACTCCACTGATTTATTCACTAGCTAGAAATTAAATGGCATTAAAACACTGTGACCACTGACCCTTAATTAGAGGCTCTCTGACTCACCCAATTTAAGAATCCTTTTGTGCATAGTGAGAAACAATGAAAATCTGTAGAATTTTGACCTGATGTAGTTACCTCTGCCCCACAATTAACTAAGTCATAGACACTGAATGATGGAACAAGCAGATGCCATAACAGGCTGCTTGGTCTTCTCTCAGAGATCAGGCCTCAGTTTCGGTTTCCTGAGACTGAACAGAGTTTCTGAAAG